CTGTAATCCCAGCACTCAAGAGTCTGAGGCAGGAGGATCACAGAAAGTTCAAAGCCAGTCTGAAATACATAGGCGTAGTGACCCACATCTGTAATCCCAGCACTTAGGAGGCTGAAACAGGAAGATGGCTGCAAGTTTGAGGCCAGCTTGGGCTACATAGTGACTTCAAGGCCAGCCTCAACTATATAGTGAGACCCTGTCTCCAAATAAAGTGGCCTATGTAGTACTAAGAGGATATAGTTTCATACATCCTAATAGAAATAATGTTCCCTATCCTGCAGAGAATCATTGCAAGAGATAATTATTTTGGAAAACAAGGTAAAAATCCATTAACAGGAATCATACTTTGACCCAGGCAGTCCCATCTTGAAAATTTATCTCAAATAATTTAAAAACACAAAAGGTATGTGGATTTCAGTATGTGCAATATATAACGAAATAAAATACAAATTTCCCAATCTCTATTGACAGTTTGAACTGGATAATCCTACAATGTAAGATGTAGTTTTTTTGTTTCGTTTTCATTTTTTGTAGTACTAGAGATTAAACCCAATACCTCACACTTGCCACTAAGCTACATCCAGAACCCCCACCCTGCCGCTGCCTCTTTTTTGAGACAAGGTCTTGCTAAGTTGCCCAGGCTGGTCTTAAACTAGTAGTCCTCCTGTCTCAGCCTCCAAGTAGCTGGGATCACAGGTGTTTACAACATGCCCAGTTAGTAGTTAACAAAATGCTTGGGTTCTTATTAGCTGCTGTGAATAACACCCCTTAAAGATGGCAACAACCACAGGCTGGGGATTTAGCTCAGTGGTGCTGCTGCCTACCTCGCAATCACAAGGTCCTGCGTTCAACTCCTGCTACCAAAAAAAAAAGAATGACAACAACCAAAAATGTCTCCAGATACTTTTTTTTTGTACTGGGGGATCGAACTGAGGAGCTTGCGCTTGCAAGGCAGGCGCAGGAACCACTGAGCTAAATCCCCGGCCCTCCAGATACTCTTTATGTCCCCTAGAGGGCAAAATTACCTCTGTTAATATTATTTGGGTTTTTTTGTTTTTTCAGTACTGGGGATCGAACTCAGGACCTTGTACTTGCCAGGCAGGTGCAGTGCTACTGAGCTACACCCCAGCCCTATTTTGGTTTTGGTTTTGGTTTGGTACCAGGGATTGAACTCAGGTCCTTGCGCTTGCACAGCAGGCAGTGAAACCACTGAGTTTAATCCCCGGCCATTGCAGTTCTTTTTCTTTTTGGTACCAGGGATTGAACTAGGGTCCTTATGCTTGCGGGACAGGCGGCAGAACCACTGAGCTAAATCCCCGGCCCTGTTTTTGTTTTTTGGGACAAGGTCTCACTATGTAGTTCAAGCTGCCTTAAACTCACTAACCCATGCTGGCCTCCAACCCTCAGCAGTTCTCCTGCCTCAACCTCCCAGATGCTACAATCACAGCAATAAACCATAACACCCAGCTTGTATCTCTCTCTCTCTATAATCTCTCTATATATTAGTAACAAGAACAAAAACAGTTACTGACATAAACTGGGCATGATGGTGTGCACCTGTAATCCCAGTACTGGAGAGGCTGAGGCAGAAGTATTGCTCAGAGTTGGAGGCCAGCCTGAGTTACATAGCTCAAAGCCAAAAAGTAGTTTTTTCTGGTTTGGTTTTTTTTTGTTGTTTTTGGTTTTTTGTGGTTTTTTTGCGGTACCAGGGATTGAATTCAGGGCCTTGCACTTTTGAGGCAGACTGGGCACCACTGAGCTAAATCCCTGGCCCTGTTTTTCAGTACTAGGCATTGGACCCAGGCCCTCATGCACAATGGACATGCACTCAACCACCTTTTTGGGTTTTTTTCTTTTTTAGTGTACACATGTAGTTTTATTGTAACAAAGCAACTGGTACACTTTGAACGTTTAAAACTGCGCATCACCTTTTCCTTTCCAGGAAAAACAAGAAAGAATTTAAAAATAAACCAACAAAATTACAATAGAGAATGTCAATTCCAAATAAGACCCTACAGTTTCTGCTGATTCTCCCATCCAGTGGCAGGGCTCAAGTCATCATTATGAGAGAATTTTATTTTAAAAGTGTCATCTTAGACTGCAAGGATGTCTGTTAACATCACAATTAAACATGCCAGAGGAGAAGCCATGTTGTCAAATGCCCACTTAACCCACAGAAACATCTCAAACCCACCCTTTGCTGACCTTCTTCTTTTTTTGGTACTGGGGATCGAACTTGGGTCCTTGCGCTTGTGCAGCAGGTGGCGAAACCACTGAGCTAAATCCCCGGCCCTATACCCCATTTTTTAAAGTTTTTTTTTCTCTTTTTTTGAACAAGAGAAAGACAGGTAAGTGTTGGTAAATGCTAACTGTCCATATTCACATAGAGACACAGTGTAATCTCTGAGCCCAATATACAGAGAAAGGAGGAAAAAAGCTAGAATTCTATGCACTACTACACAGGGGCCTAGCACCCTCCAGCTTCCAGCAGAGCAAAGGGAGCAGAAAAGTTTTCTTTTTTTCCCACAGACCACGGTGGTGTTGATTCCATACAGTTTGTCTGGAGACAGGAGGGGATCAAAATGAATTTAGAACAGAAGGCAACCATCTGTTTATGATCATTGGCTCTCAGGACTTTGCTATTTGCTGAGACTGCAAAGGTGAAAGGTAATACCTTTACACAAATAGCTTATAGGACTATTATTCTCTATGTTATGGTTGTCCAATATGCATATCAATAGGAAATAACCAGTGTCAGGTGTATATTCAGTAAATGGGGACATGGGGTGTAGCTCAGCAGAAGAGCACTTGTCTCTTATGCACAAGGCTCTGAATTTGATCCCTAGCACCACATGCATGAAAAATAAAAAATTCAGCTCAATGAGTTTGATGAGGCACACTTGGAATCCCAGCACTATGGGAAGCTAAGGCAAGAGGATCACAAGTTTAAGCCCTACCTGGGCAACTTGAGGACTTTCCAAGACCCTGACTCAAAAAAAATAATAAAAGGGCTGGACTGCTGGGCATGGTGGCACACACCTATAATCCCAGTGCTCTGGAGGCTGAGGCAAGAAGATTGGAAGGAGTTCCAGGCCAGCCTGGGCTAAGTAGTGAGACCCTGTCTCAGAAAAATAAACAGAAAAAGAGCTGGGGATGTAGCTCAGGGCAAAGGCCTGGGTTCAATCCTCAGTACCAAAACAACAACAAAAAACTCAGTAAATGTAGGTATTATATTGTGAAATGGCAGAATATTTCCCTATAGTTTTTAAAATTAGTATATATTTGTCATACATAATGATCATATTCATCATAGGGAATTTGTACCTGTACAGAATATCTCTTAATTATTTTTCCCTCATTCCCTTCCCATCAACCATTCTTTCCCTCCCCATTTACAAAAGCTTTGTTTCCATTTTTTCCTTCCATTCTCTTTTAAAATCCCTTTTCCCTTTCTTCCCTTCCCTTTCCTCCCTCCCTTGTTCCTCTTATTTGAACATGTTCTTCCTACTTCCCAATAGCTATCCTTTTTTTTTTTTTGGTACCAGGGATCGAACTCGGGTCCCTGCACTTGCACAGGAGGTGGTGAAACCACTGAGCTAAATCCCCAGCCCAAGTTGGTGATTTCTAACTTTTAACTAGATAAATAACTTTCCTGTAAAAGAAGGAACAAAAATATGATAATTTTTTTTTTTTTTTTTGGTACTGGGGATTGAACTCGGGTCCCTGCACTTGCACAGGAGGTGGTGAAACCACTGAGCTAAATCCCCGGCCAGCTATCCTTCATTTTGCTCCTTATTTACCTTCTGGGTTTCTCACATAAGACAAATAATTTGAAATATATATCTATACCTATACCTATCTGTATAATACAGATATAGACAGATTTTTTTTTTTGGTACCGGAGTTCGAACTTGGGTCCTTGCACTTGTGCAGCAGGCAGCAAAACCACTGAGCTAAATCCCCGGGCCCAGTTAGATAGATTTTTCTGGAGACAGGGTCTAGTTGTATAGTCCAGGCTGGCCTCAAACTCTCCAACACTCAGCAATCCTTCTGCCTCAGCCTCCCAAGTGCTGGGATTACAGGCATGTCCCACCACTCCCCGTCCAACAGTTTGATATTTAAACTTGTGTGTCTGATTTAGTTCATGTAAAATTATGGTCTCTGGGTACATGGAATTACCTAAAAATGTTTCAAGTTTATTTATTTGTTTTTTGGTACCGTAGATTGAAGTCAGGACCTCGCACTTCCGAGGCAGGTGGCAGCACCACTGAGCTAAATCCACAGGCCTCAAGTTTATTTTTTTATGGCAGAGTAGTATTCCATTGTATATAAAAACCACATTTTCTTTTTTTTGTGTGTGTGTGTGTGTGTGTACTGGGGATCGAACTCAGGACTTTCCGCTTTCAAGGCAGGCGGTGGAACCATTGAGCTAAATCCCTGGCCCCAACCACATTTTCTTTATCCATGCATTTGTTGATGGGCTGTTTTCATGATTTAGCAATCTATTATAAATTGTGCCACTCTAAACATATCACTGTGGTAGGATGCTTTTAACTCTTTCAGGAAGATACCTAAAAGGGGACTAGCTGGGTCAAATGGAACCTCTAGTTTTAGTTTTTTAGGAAACCTCCATACTGTTTTCCATAGTGGTTTTACCATTTTATTCTCCCACCAAAAATGGAGAAGGGTTCCTTTTTTCCCCACAGCCTCACCAACACTTGTTTTTGTTTTGTTTTGGTTTTTTCTGGGGGGGGATACTGGGGATCAAACTCAGGACCTTGTGCTTTTGAGGCAGGCATGGCACCACTGAGCTAAATCCCTGGCCCGTTTTTGTTTTGTTTTTGAGACAGGGTCTTGTTATGTAGTTCAGCCCATAGTTGAGCTCACTAGGTAGCACAGGCTGGCTTCAAACTCTTGGTCATCCTCCTGCCTGAGCATCCAGAGTGCTGGGATTATAGGTGTGTTCCACCACACCTGGCCAGATGCCATTTTTGGACTGGCTCTTTAAATTTGAGGGGGTCTGGATTTTTTAGTTCTTTATATAGTCTAGATATTAGTCCTTTGAGGAGTAGCTGGTAAAAAAATTTTCCCATTCTGTGGGTTTTCTTCACTCTGTTGGTGGTTTCTTTTGGTGTGCATATTTTCCTATAGTTTATACTTCAACTGATGCATTTAAAGATCTATATTATAGGTTCTTCACATGGACTGCTGCTATAATATTCATCTAAGGAGGTCCCCCAGAGAGGAGATGTGGACCATAACTCACTGCAGGGTATAGGTCTCATACTACACATTTCCATCTTTCACATCTCCCAAGGTATAAAGTTAGGTTTCTACATCATCAGCATTCTATCTCTAGATTTCCTGCAGAACTGAATTCAGTATTCAGTATGTCTTTACTATTCACAAAGACAGCTCACTGAGTCAACAAAAATTTGTTAAACCAGGAAGAAAATTTGACGGTATAAAGTATGCCCAGTTTAGTCATCTATATTATGAAGTTATTCACATTGTTTCTCAGAGTTTTGGGGAAATATTTGAAACTCTAAACAGTCTGTAATTATTGTTCCCCTGACCCTTTAAGAAATGAATTTTTTTGGTACCAGGGATTGAACTTAGGACCTTGCGCTAGCGAAGCAGGTTACAGAACCACTGAGCTAAATCCCAGGCCCATGAAATGAATTTTTTGGTGCCAGGGATTTAGCTCAGTGGCACCACACCTGCCCCGCAAGTGCAAGGTCCAGAATTTGATTCCTGGTACAAAAAAAGAAAAAAAGGAAAGAAAAGGAAGAAGAAAAGGAAGGAAGGAAGGAAAAAAAAGGTAGAAAGGCATTTTTTTCTTTTGCACGTAGTCTTGGGCAGTACATTTTGGCTGTTTCACCCTATCTTCTACTTCTAATACCAATTATTGATAGTTAGGTACCTAGGGGAATTTTTTGCCAAAGTTTCTAGTTAACCCCTGCAGGGAAGAGGGAAAGGGGACGTTACTAGAACCTCTGCACTAAGTCCTAGTCTCCTGTGAGCCACAGCAGCACAAGGCGAATTACAGGAAAGGTAGAAAAATGAGACTAAGAGGCTGAGCTTTTGATCTGATCAGTGCTGCTCTGGGCGACAAAAACGAAAGCCCCCACCTTACCGCACCTTTTATTCAGTACATCGGGAGAAACAAATGTAACAAATGACTTGCAGAGAGTTCAGTACATCCTGCGTAAATAAGATGTAACAGTCCAAGAACAGTGAGGAATTGAGTAGATGTTTGTTACTCCCAGGATGTTTTCAGCTCCCAGGATGTTTCTTGTCCTGGAGAATCACAGCATCACGGGATCACTGAGGTCTCAGTTGTGACCCGAGGCCAAAATGGAGTTATGTCTCGGAATTCCATAGCTGGGCTGTAGGCAGGAGAACTAGGCTAACCAAATGATTTTTCCCTACAATTATTGTAGCATTGCTCCCGACAAACCCCTAGTAGTGAAAACTTCTTGCCGTACCCCTCCTCATTGATTCCATTCCTTGATCCAACAGCTGTGCTAGTTATTGGGAATAAAATTAGAAAAAAAAAAACTGTAGAAAAGACACAGATTTCCACTTTTATGGAATTTACATTCTTCTGGGAGAGATAGACAAAAATTCAAATAAAAACAATTAGACTGGTGCTCCTCGAATTTTCTGTTTTTCCTCCTTTCTCTGTGGCTATCCATCGCAGCACCCCCATGATAATTAAGCTCTGGGCTGTGAGTCAGAAGGCCTGCCTTCCACACTGGCTCTGCCACTTCAGGCTGGGTGACCAAGTTGTCCAACCTCTCTCTGTCTCATTTTCTTCATCTGTAAAATAAAGATAATTATCATGAGGCTTTGTGAGGATTAAGGGTTTAGCACAGGCTCTTCTCACTCAGTTAATGTCTGCCACTACTATTTTTTTTGATGTAGTTTTGTTTTTTGTTCTTTTGAGACAGGGTCTCACTAAGTAGTTCAGGGTGGTCTTGAACTCATAATGTAGCCCAGGCTGGTCTCAAACTTGTGGCAGTCTATCTCCCTCAGCCTCTGGGAGTGCTGAGCTTGCAGGTGTGTACCACCACACCCAGCTTTCTGTGTCAATTTCTTGCACTTTCTCTTTCTAAAATATCTTTTTTCAGGGCAGTTTCTCTGCCCCTATGAAAATGATGGAGGGAGAAACGTAATGTTGGGAAATTTCTAGTTTTTCCACAATTTTTTTTTCCTGAATATAGGAGAGAAAGACTTTCTGTGTATGACTTTAGTAGATTCTTTAGGCCCAGTTTACAGAGTTCCACTTTGCCATTGGAAGACGCTGTTGCTCACAAATTTGAATATGCATTTTATATGAACTCCTCCTTTGCTTGAAGGTGATTTTTGTAATTTAGCATAACTTTGGAGGGGTAGAGACACACCTAGCACCCAAAAGCCAGTGATTGAACAACAATTAGATTAGTGGAGGCTCCCACAGATCTATGAGGGTAAGATTAACATGACACACTTCTCTTTGACAGGTTTTGTTGTCCTCCAAGCCGGGGAAGGGATGTTATAGTAACAGAAAGACCTGGATTTAGGGGACCGTCGAGGACAAGGGTGCCATCTCCTTTTCTCTCCCCAGTACCTGTCACAACAACCAGCGTGTTCATTCCCCAGCATACAGAAGTAACTCCACCAGCACTGCTGTGTGGCATTGACCAAGTCCTTAACCCTTTCAAGATCAGTGGTAAATATATACTGCTCCCACTGAGAAAGTTTTGTGTAAGAAGAAAATGAGCTGACATTAGTAAGACCAGACTCAGAGCCTCACACACAGCAGGTGTTCAACAATTTTAGTTCTCTTCCCCTTTCACTTTTTGTGTATTTCCTCTCCCCCTCCCCCTGCTCAACCTGATTATAAGATTTTTGTTGTTGTTGTTTTGTTTGCTTTTTTTTTTTTTTTTTTGTACCAGGGATTGAACTCAGGTCTTTGTGCTTGTGCAGCAGGCGGTGAAACCACTGAGCTAAATCCCCGGCCCTGTTTTGTCTGCTTTTTGAGATAGGGTCTCACTATGTTGTTCAGGCTGGCCTTCAACTCACTGTGTGGCCCAGGCTAGCCTCAAATTTGTGGCAATCCTCCTGCCTCAGCCTCCTGAGTACTGGGATTACAGACGTGTGCTATCATGCCCAGTTTTTTATAAGTCATTAGAGTCAGAGATCTGTCTGCCTTTCATTGTATCCCCAGTGCCACACCTTATACATAGTAAGAATTTCAATTTATTCACTCATTCAGAGAATCTTTGAGTATCTACACTGGACAAAAGCTTAGCATTCAGAGAGAACAGGCACTTTTGGGAATCCTGTGTAACTGAATGTGACCAAAGCAGAAGTTTTGAAGGGCTGGGGATATAGCTCAGTGGCACTGCGCCTGCCTTGCAAGCACAAGGTCCTGAGTTCCATCCCTGGCACCAAAAAAAAAAAAAAAAAGAAGAAGTTTTGAAAAGGAAATGAGAAAGAAAGCTACTGTAATCGGTCTGGATTAGTTTTCAAAAGGCTTTTTAGATCTTATAAGAATTTTGGACTTTATCTTGTAAGTCAGAGGATTGCCACTGAATCAAAAAACATTAGGAACTTCTTTTACTTTTATTTTAGAATGGTTCGTTATCAAAGTTAAATGTGCTTAAGAATCACCAAGGAGACATAGAGGAGGAGGCCATGTAACAAAGTCGCCAGAACCTACGATGATGCAGCCACAGGTCAAGGAAGACCCAGAACCATCAAAAACTGGAAGGGAAAGAAAGGATCCTCCCTTGGAGCCTTTACCAGAAATGCAGCCATGCTGACACCTTGATTTTGGACTTCTTGCCTCTAGAACTGTGAAACCCCCCACCCCCTTCACACCCAAGGGCACCCTCCTACTGAACTACATCCCCAGCCCTTAAAAAAAATAATTGTTTTTGTTCTTTTTGAGGCAGAGTTTTGCTAGATGGCCCAGTTGGGAATTCAAATTTGAGATCCTTCTAGCTTAGCCTTCTGGTGGAATTACAGGCATGTGCCACCACACCTGGCTAATAAATTTGTTTTAAATCAAATCAAAAAAGAGAAGCTAGGGGCCGGGGATTTAGCTCAGTGGTTCGGCTGCCTGCCTCAAGCACAAGGTCCTGAGTTCAATCCCTGGTACCAAAAAAAAAAAAAAAAAAAAAGAGAAGCTCAAAGCTGGCTGTGGTGCCTATAATCCCTGCACTCAGGAGGCTGAGGCAGGAGAATTGCTGGGAGTTGGAGGCCACCCTGGGCTACATAGTGAGACCCTGTCTCAAAAAGAAAAAAGGAGAGAGAAGCTCATTAAAAGGCAGCTTCCAGTCATACTGCCAATGGGCCCAAGACTTTCATTTACTCATTTATCTATTTATTTATTCTGTGCATATTTGCAGCACATCACAGTTACATTTGTTTAGGAGACTGGCACATGTTTATAGCATATCTTGATCATTTCCGAGCCCTTTATACCCTGGTCTCTGGCCCCCTCCCCCACTCACTTGACCAAGTTCACATTTAAACCAGAATTGTAGGTGATGATTCACTTAAATATCTAGGCACCAAGGGAGTATTTTAAAGCAAGAAAAGCGATGCTAGCCGGGGATTTAGCTCAGTGGTTCAGAGTTTGATCCCCGGTACCAGAAAAAAAAGCAATGCTGGGCTTGGTGACTCAGGCCGGTAATTGCAGCACTTTGAGAGGCTGAAGCAGGAGTATTGCAAGTCAGACCCCAGCCTGGGCAACTTGGCAACTTAGCGAAACGCTGCCTCAAAATAAAACAATAAAATATATAAAAGGGGTGGGATATAGTTCAGTGGGAAGACCTTGGGTTCAATCCCTGGTACCACAAGGAAAGAGAAAAGGAGAGAGACAGACAGACAGACAACCAGTAACCAGTCAAGTGGGCAGTGCCATAACTCTGGGGAAAGCTGATCTGGACTAGGTCAAATAAGACTTCCCCTACCTTCTCTGATCCATCTGCCTACTTTGGCCTGTCTCACACTAAAGCCTTCAGCCTCTTCATGGAAGACTAGAAAGATCTCATCAAAAGCTCCATCCAGGGTGGGGTGGTGGTACTTGCTTCTAATTCCAGCACTTGGGAGGCTGAGGCAGGAGGATCACTGCAAGTTCGAGGCCAGCCTGGGCTACATAGTGAGTTCAAGCCACCCTAAACTATACAGACCCTGTCTCAAAACAACAAAAAGCCGGGGATTTAGCTCAGTCGTTCCGATGCGATGCCTGCCTCGAAAGCGCAAGGACCCGAGTTTGATCCCCAGTACCAAAAAAAAACCAACAAAAAACAAGAGAAGCTCCATCCAAAGGGAGAGGCTGAAGGGAAGTATACAGGTTGGGTAGGTTCTATATTTAGAATGGTTGGGAGGAAGTGTGTTGAAGAACAAGAAGGAGACAAAAATGGCTTCAGAACTTTGGGCTTGAAGCAACTATTATAATGATATGCCATATGATTGTAAGGGCCTCCGTCAGGAAGAATTCAGGTCAGGAAAGGTAAAAAGAGGTGTTTTAGTTGAGATTTGCTAAGTTTGAAGTGCTTCTAGGATATCCAAGTAGAGATGTTCAAAGTCAGCAGCTCAAAGAAAGATCTGTACTAGAAATGCAGATTTGAGAATCATTAGCTAATAGACAGTAATGGAAATGGGTGAAATCCTCCCAGGAGAGTAAACATAGAAGAATCTAGAACAAAACTCCAAAGAACAGGTCAGGAAGAATTGAGGGGGGAAAAAAAAGAATAGAAGGGAAAAAAATTGCTAAGAGTGCTAAGGACAGGTCAGATGTAATAGGAAAACCAACTTCCGTCCAAAGTCACAGGGAGTTCAACAGGAGTGACAATTGGGATGCATATTGGATTCAGCAAAAGTGACCTTGTAGAGAGTTTTAGTGGAGCAATGGGGACAGTATCAGATTGCAGTGGATTGAGGAGTAGATGAAGGGTGGAGACTACTGATATGGGATTTTTTTCAAGCTGATGGGCCAAGAATGGAGAGCCTATGGTCATAATATAATAGTTTAAGGGTTTTTTGGTTTTGGGTTTTGTTTGCAGGGGTGTGTGTGTGTGGTTGTGTGTTGGAGACAAGGTTTTGCTGCGTAGTCCTGGCTGGCCTTGAATTTTTTTTTTTTTTTTTTTTGGTACTGGGGATCGAACTCTGGTCCTTAGCTTGCGAGGCAGGCGGTGGAACCACTGGGCTAAATCCCCGGCCCTGCTTGAATTTGAAGCAATCCTCCTGCCTCAGCCTCCCAAATCCTGGGATTATAGGTGTTTGCTACCACACTGTTGTTGGTTTTTTGTTTGTTTCTATGCTAACAGAAGAGTTGGAAAAAAATACAGGGATATAGGAAATAAAGCCGACTGAGAGGCACGGGGTGGAATCCACCAGTTAGACATCAGAATTATTCTTCAAACAGGAGACGTCTACATCTATTTTATACCTGGATGGAAGGAGGAAAGGATTGGGTGGTTTGGGAGGTTGATGTTGGGTAATTCTACCTGATAGTTTCCTCGTGAAGTTGGAGAACAGGCCGTGAGTAAGGAGTTCCTTGAATGAATAAATTAAGTTTTCCCAGCCAAAGTCAAGGGTCAGCAGCGGGACGGAAGTGATTGTTGTATTTGAGGCCAGAGCATGGTGGGAAGCCGGTGGAGGCTGAAACTTTAACGTGAAAGGATGAGGTCGACTGAGAGGAAGTGTGATGTTCCTCTAAACCTGGGGGTTACTGCATTTGGTGCACAGAACAGGAGTTTTCTCCAGAACCTCATGGTGGGGCTCTGGTTTAGGCTCCCCATTCCATGTATAGTCCTTCTGCCTTCCACGGCCTATGGCTTACTCTAAGGCCTGGAGACTCCACGTCCTCGCCGAGGACCAGCTGGAAGCCATTTTGATTATGTTCCACCACAGAAGGAGGACAATACAGCCCCGCCCAGAGCCAGGCGCGCCCCCGCGGCAGGCCGAGTGCGCGTGTCCGCGCATCTTCCCGCCGGCCTGGCGGGCGCCTGGCCCAGGTGGCTGCGGCGCGGGGCGGGGGAGGGCGGGGTTGGGGGGGTGGTTATGTAAGCGTTGCGCGCTCCCGCGAGGTGGGAACCAATAGGAGGCCCCGCCGGCTCGTGCTCGCGCACGCAGGGTGGGGGGAAGAAGCGCACGACGTGCGCGCGCCCTCTCCCTCGGCCACCGCTGCCGCCTCCTTCTGCCGCTCCTGGAGCTGCTTGTGTGCTCGTTCGGTGCGGACCTGGTACCTCTTTTGTGAAGCGGCAGCTGAGAAGACTCGGGCGCTCGCTATGGCCGACGAAAAGCCCAAGGTGAGCTCGATGCCCCCTCCCTCCTCAGCGCGCGGCAGGGAACGGCGGGGCTGGGGTCCGGCCCGAGCCCGCTGCGGGCTCCCCCTCGCCTCCTCGGGCCCCCCAGGGGGCCGGCCGCGGCTCTGGCCCGGGCGCTCCGCGCCATTTTCCTCCCTCCTTCTCTTCCTCCCTCCCGCGCCGGAGGAGGCCAGCCGCCCCCCCCCCCCGCCCCCGGATCCTCCGAGTGCGCGCGGCGCGAGGCGGGCGGCAGATCGCGGGCTCCCGCGGGCCCAATGGCCCTGCACGGGCTTCTCTGCCGGCCGCCGGCGCGCGGGAGGAAGGCTTTGGGCGCGCAGTGCGCGGGCTGCAAGGCGTCGGCGGTGGTGGGAGACCCCTCGGCCTGGGGCTTCCCTTCGGGGAGGGGGCCGCGGCGGGGCGAGGGCTCAGGACAATCAATGGGCGGCTGCGGGGCTGTGAGGCCGATGCCCGGGGGGGCGTCAGGCTTGAGGCTAGGAGGTTCCCGGGGAGTGTTCCCACCTTAATGGCCCCGGGGACTCGAGGGGGGAGGGGCAGCGGCCCTTCCCCGGGTGCCGGTGCCCCCTGAACCGGAGGGGACCATGTGGTTTCAAGAAGTTGGAGGCCGTGGTGCAGCAGAGACTTGGTGGGGCAGAACTTCTGAGCGCGGCTTTCGAGGTACCAGGAGGCTTCCCGTGAGGATGGGACTCGCGTCTAATGGGGAAAGGGGACTTGCTCCTTTGGGTTGCTTTGACACCTCCCCCTTTACTTTCTGAAGTGATGTATGGGGCTGCGGGATTCCTTTCACACTTGATTTTGGTGAACTTTGGGTTCAGTTGAAATCTATGAGGAAGACTTAGACGAAAACAGTGCGTTTGACCCATGACAACAAAGGGGTGGGGAATATAGGAGCTCTTAACTAAAAAATAAGCGAAAATGAAGCTTCTAATACAATCGAACATTAGTCGTGGTTCTCAGTTGTTATTGATGCCTCAGAGTGAATCAGGATGTATATTTGTCTTTTTTTGTTAACGTGTAGATTGAATTTGTTATTGGGCCGAGTTTGGTAACTTTTTAAAAAGAGTCTTGTAATGAGTTGTGAATTGCAAGCTCTATTTTTTCCTCACCTGTTGCATTTCATTTCAGCAGTTGTACTTTAAGTGCTTTGCAAAGAGAAAGACATTTTTATCTTTTGGGGGGTATATATATATATTGTCAGTGATAGAAAATAACGCTGTTTTAGAAAATTCAGTCTCGAGAGAACCATGTAATATAAATTGAGTGGGACCCATCACTTAAAATCTGCTGTTGCCATTGATAGTGTTGCGTGTAGGCTTTTCTGTTTCTGTGTCAGCTACCTAATGCTATTGGAGGCTTTCTCATCTTGCAGACTGACTTCAGTGGATGAAAACACTACATGCTGTTTTATCGTACAGAATGAAACCTGTTGATTTGTGAACCAATTTGAGCTGCTGCTACTTTAAAGGTGTCTGTTTTTTCACATTTTCCAAATTACACTTTTATTTTCTTTCAACAGGAAGGAGTCAAGACTGAGAACAACGACCATATTAATTTGAAGGTGGCGGGCCAGGATGGTTCTGTGGTGCAGTTTAAGATTAAGAGGCATACACCACTTAGTAAATTAATGAAAGCCTATTGTGAACGACAGGTGAGGAATTGATATGTACAATTTAATATTTAAAAATTTTTCTTGAGAATAGAAACTAGATTAGTATATTACAATGACTGGTAGGATGAATATGCATGTATATACTTGGCATATCCAGTTTTAATTGTGTACTTGGTATATCGATTCCTCATGAAAATCCTTAGAATTGTTCCATTAGTATTATTTATGATTGTATTATACCAGAAATTTATCAAAGTATAGTCACAGACTTGTTTAGACCCCAAGGGAATGTAACTTTACTTTTGTAAGGAAGCAAGTGAACTTCTGAATTTTTTGTCAGGCTTATTTATTTTTTGTTTGTTTGCTTGAGACAGGGTCTTATCAGTATGTACTCCAGGCTGGGCATTAAACCCAGACTGGCCTTGAACGTGTGGCAATTCTCCTGTCTCTTGAGTGTTGGTTGAGTGTTGGGATTATTGGCCTGGCGTTCTTATTTTTGTTTGTTTGGGGTTTTTTTGGTACCAGGGATCGAACTCGGGACCTTGTGCTTGCGAGGCAGGTGCCGGAACCATTGAGCTAAATCCTTCGCCCTGGCATTCTTACTTTTTAAACATTTAACAGTAGAGGCCACTGGGTGTGATGGCACAGGCCTGTAATCCCAGCACTTGGGAAAGCTGAGGCAGATTGCAGGTTCCAGGCCAGTCTGGGTAATTTAGCCAGACCCTGTTTCAAAATAAAATGAAAAGGGTGGAAATGTAGCTCAGTGATAGAGCACTTCCCTGCCATACACAAGGCCCTGGGTTTGGTCCCTAGTACCACAGTCTTTTTTGTTTTATTTAGAGACAGCTTCTCGATAGCAGTCAGGCTTCTTGCCTCAGCCTCCTGAGTGCTGGAATTACAGACGTAGGCCAACACACCTGGCTTTTATAATCATTTTCATTTTATTTGTGGTGTTGGGAGTCAAATCCAGTTTCTTACAGGCTACAACCATAACTTCAGAGGTTAGAAAATCGGTAATTGTGAGCCAAGCATAAGCGTTGTTGTATTAAGGGTACATTTGTATTTTACCCAGAAAAACACTGTATAGACATCAAGAAAAAGAAATAGAAAAAATTCTCTTTTATTTTCTACATGTTGGGGTTTGAATCAGAGGGCTTTCATGATCTTCCTGCCTCAGTCTCCCACGGTGATGGAATTACTGGTGTGCCCCATCGTAATGTGCTGTGCTAATTTTTTTCCCCACCTCAGACTGGAGATTGAACCTAGGTCTCTGCACTGTTATATTTATTTTTTTATTTATTTGTTTACTTGGAGTATTGGGGGTTGAATTCCCGTCTTAATGAGCCTAATCCCCATTGTTACTATTCTGAGGCATGGTCTTGCTAAAAAGTTGCCCAGGGTGGGCATGAATTTGCAGTCCTCTCCCCATCAGCCTCCCACCAGAGTGCTGGGATTGTAGGTGTGTGCTACCACGCCTGGTTTAACTTTTTTTTGGAAACAGAGGCTTATGTATTTCAGACTGGACTTGAACATACTTTGTGGCCCCGGCTGGCCTCAGATTTGCAGCAGTCCTCCTGACTCAGGCTCCTGAGTGCTGAGATTACAGGCATGTGCCACCATGGCTGGCTTAATGATACTCATTAGATGCCTACCCTGTGAAGGACATCGTGCTAGGAGCCAGAAAACAAAAATACTGCATGTTCCCTGTGCTCCAGATTATCCTTGCAGGAGATTGTCCTGTAAAATTGAGTTAGCTGAGTGTGCTGGTACATGCTCATAATTCCATTACTCTGAGAGGGTGAGGCAGGAGGATTACAAGTTTCAGCCCTGCCTGCACTGTTTGTTTGTTTGTTTCTTTGTTTGTTTCTTTGTTTGTTTCTTTCTTTCTTTCTATCAGGAATCGAACTCAGGGCCTCATGTTTGCAAGGGAGGCACCTTGCTGATGAGCTATATCCCAGGCCCTTATTTTGTTCACAGTGGCAAAGTTTTAGTAAAGATGGGAAAAGAAACAGACTGCAGAGCGAGTTTAGGCCAAGTAAAAGTAGGAAAAGAAGTAACACCCTGCAGTGTGCGGATGGCCCACCATGGAAAAGAGAGCACAGTGACCTGGGCGTTCAGTGAGTTGCCAAGACCCTGTCTCAAAATAAAAAAAGACTTGGGGGCCAGGGATTTAGCTCAGTGGTTCCAGTGCCTGCCTCGAAAAGCCCAAGGTCCTGAGTTCAATCCCCGGTACCAAAAATAAAAAATAATAAGGTAAAATAAAAAAAGACTTGGGGGGCCAGGGATTTAGCTCAGTGGCAGTGCACCTGCCTCGAAACTCAAAGTTCTGAGTTCAATCCCCAGTACCAGAAAAAAAGAAAAAGAGTTAGGAAGGTAGCTCAGTATGAAGGACCTGGGTTCAGTCCCTGGTACCACAAAAAACAAATAAAATTAAAAGGGATAGGAATGTAGCTCAGTGAAGAGACCCTGAGTTAACTCCCCAGTACTGTAAAAAAAGAAAAATTAACCTGGGCATGGTGATGGACACCTGTAATCCCATCACTTCTGAGCCTGAGGCAGGAGGACTGCCTTGAGTTTGAGGCCAGCCTGTACTGCATGGTGAGCTACTCTCTCAAAAAACCAAAACAAAGAATTATTTTCTTAAATTTGAGATAAGATTTGGCTAAGACTGGGCCAGGGATTTGGCTCAGTGGTGCTGCCTTGCAAGCGCAAGGTCCCCTGTTCAGTCCCCCTGGACCAAAAAAACAAAAAACAAAAAACAAGATTTGGCTAAGACTAAATTTCCTAGAGTAGGCTCAAACTTGTGATCCTCCTTCCTGCCTTAGCCTCAGAGTGCTGAGGGATTACAGGCCTGCTCCATCATACCTAGGTTTAAAAGATTATTTTTAAAATACTGATTGTATATTAAAATGGGAGTTGGGTTAAAATACTGTTTTTGTTTTTTGGTTTTTTTGGTACTGGGGATTGAACTCAGGTCCTTGGGCTTGCCATGTAGGTGGCAGCACCACTGAGCTAAATTCCCAGCCCACGGTTAAAATACTGTATTAAAATTTTAGCGATTTTAACTTTGCTACTAAAAATTTAAAATTATCTTTCTACCTCACATTTTTTTTTTTTTTTTTTTTTTTTTTTTTTTGGTACTGAGGATTGAACTCGGGTCCTTGCACTTGCGCAGCAGGCGGCGAAACCACTGAGCTAAATCTCCGGCCCCTCTAACTTCACATTTTTTGGGTTTTTTTTTTTTTTCTTTCTTTCTTTTTTGGTACCAGGGATTGAACTCGACCTTGGGCTTGTGAGGCAGCTTCGGTGCCACTGAGCTAAATCCCCAGCCTTCACATTTTTATTGAATAGTGCTTAACTAGACAATGGCATGACCCAAATAAAACTAGTTTATTTTGGTCTTTGTTACTCCTTTCTTTTTTCTTTTTTTTTTTTTTGGTGCCAGGGATTGAACTCAGGACCTTGCGCTTGTGAGGCAGGCACTGGAACCACTGAGCTAAATCCCCAGCCCCCGTCTTTGTTACCCTTCAGAGCCTTCTGTCTTTTTTTTTGGTTCTGGGGATTGAACTGAGGACCTTGTGCTTTCAAGGCAGGCGCACGAATCACTGAGCTAAATCCCGGGCTCAGAGCCTTCTGTCTTAATTCGAAGTACTCCTATCCTATCCCCATCATTCAGTCCTCTGTCTTGCTTTATTGATTAGTGCTTTTTTTTTTGGTACCAGGGATCGAACTCAGGACCTTATGCTTTTGAGGCAGGCGCCGGAACCACTGAGCTAAATCCCCAGCCCAATTAGGGCTTGTTTTTAATCTGTCTCCACTAAAATATAGGCTCTACGAAGAGAGACTTTTTGTTCACTTTCTCTAGAGCCTAGACCAATAGAACATGTTCAACAAATGCTTGTGAAATGATAGAGAAGTTTCAAACTAATGATTCCAGTGGTTGATTTGTAAATAACTTTAACCACGTGAAGAAGTAGAATTTGCCTATTGTGTGTTAACCTCATATGTCCTTCAGCTGGGAGACCACACTTTCATTCCAGTGTGGATTTATCCTGACTATTATGGAGTATTGGGTGGTTTCTGAGAGCACAAAATCGAGTTCATTTTTTGATGTGAATAAACAGATCTAAGGGGATTTCATAAGTCTCAGGGGATAGCTAAATCAGCTATGAGATTTGTACTGAAGGGGAGTCCAAGTTCTGGTTTATGTAATCTTTTTTTCCCTCAGTACCGGAAATTGAACTCAGGACCTTGCGCTTGCCAGGCTGGCACAGTGTCACTGAGCTACATCCGCAGCCCTGGTTTATGTACTTTTTTTTTTTTTTTTTTTTTTTTGGTACTGGGGATCGAACGCGAGACCTTGTGCTTGTGAGGCAGGCGGCCGAACCACTGAGCTAAATCCCCGACCCTATTTTGGAGAATTGAAAAGGCATATGGAATGTCTCAAAGAGCAACAGAAATAGGCCCGGGCTTTAGCTCAGTGGTTCCGCCGCCTGCTGTGCAGGCGCAAGGACCTGAGTTCAATCCCCAGTACCAAAAAAAAGCGAAAACAAAATAGAAGTGGCAGGGCCAGGGATTTAGCTCAGTGGTTCAGCTGCCTGCCTCGCAAGTGCAAGGTCCCAAGTTTGATCCCCAGTACCCCCCAAAAATAGAAGTGGCAATAAAGGAATACAACTTCCTTATTTTCTGTAATTCTGGTCCTGGCTTTTTTTTTTTTTTTTTTTTAGAATGGCCACACCATTGAATGTAATGGAGGAAGGATCCACCATGCAGAATGTGCTTAGTATTTTTGTATTGTTGCTTTTTAAAATTTTTTTTATTTTTTGGTACCCAGCATTGAACTCAGGACCTTGCACTTGCAAGGCAGGAGCCAGAACCTGAGCTAAATCCTCGGCCCTATTGTTGCTTTTTTTTTTTGGTACTGGGGATTGAACTCGGGTCCTTGTGCTTGTGCAGCAGGTGGTGAAGCCACTGAGATAAATCCCCGGCCCCAATTGTTGCTCTTTGAGACAGGGTCTTCCGATGTAGTGCAGGCTGGCCTTGAACTTAGTGATTCTCCTGCCTCAGCCTCCCAAGTGGAGTGCTGGGATTCCACGTGTGGACCACCACATCTGGCAGTGCTTAGTATTTTATTGAAGCAAGGAATCTATTTTCTATGGAGCGTTTGCAAATATAAAATACTCAGCAGTTAATGGCTTGGTATTGAATTCTTTGTTGCTTTCTGTAATCACAAATTAAGTTGGAATGTTACAAGCAATGAATTAAAAAATTATAGGTGTCACCTGCCTGGTAGGAGATTGCTTGTATTATTTCAAGCAAGACAAGGTGTAGTTTATAAGTGGTATCAAAGCATTTTATGTGGTATACTACCATTTTAAAGGAAAGCAATATCTTGTTATGGGGCGCCTGGGATTTAGCTCAGTGGTACTGCTGCCTGCCTCAAAAGCCCAAGGTCCTGAGTTCGATCCCTGGTACCAAAAAAAAAAATCATTTACCCATAACAAGATTTTTTTTTTTTTTGGTACCAGGGATCGAACTCAGGACCTCATGCCAGGCAGGTGCTGTGCCGCTGAGCTAAATCCCCAGCCCTGTTACGGGTAGATTTTAAAACAGATTTAGTGACACCTTGTTAAATAAGGGAATACAGGTGTTACTCAAATGTTCGTATATTTTGTGTACAAGGGGTCAAACCCAAAGGTGCTGTATCACTGAGCTATATTCCTACCCCTTTATTTTGATTCTTTGGGTGGCCAGAAATTTGGAATCCTCTTGCTTTAACCTTCTGATTAGGATTACAGAAGTAGCCCCTATGACTTGATACAAATGTTTATTATTGAGAACTTTATCTTCTTTTTTTTTTTTTGTTACTGGGGTTCGAACTCAGGACCTTGTGCTTTTGAAGCAGGCAGCAGAACCACTGAGCTAAATCCCCGGACCTGAGTACTTTATCTTTAATGTTAAGAGTACTACTGTGTTTTTTTGTTTTTTGGGTTTTCTTTTTGGTACCGGGGATCGAACTACTACTGTGTTTTTTAGTATCTTTGATACTAGGGGTGCAATTTAAATTTTCTGTTAGTATCATTGATAATTGTGGGAGTTCATGTAACTAGAGCTCATAATTTGAACATGTTACAGGAGTGACTAATTTATTCACAACATAAATTCAGAGGTACTTTATTTTCTTGTCTTGTCTTCACTTGGCTATCATTGCCAACATCTTTGCTTCTCCCCCTCTCCTCACCCTTTTGTCAGGTAAATAATGCTTCACGAGTGAAACACTAGAATCAGTTTTAGAGTAGGAGCACGTTTAGGCCCATTTATCTTCCCCCTTGAATAATGAAAGGTATTTTGATTCCAGTCCCCTCCCTTCCTTTTTTGGGTGGTACTGGGGATTGAACCTAGGGCCTTCATGCTGAGCTCTGTCCCTAGCCTTATTTTTTTTATTTTTTTTTTTTTTTTTGAGACAGTATTGCTCAGTTCCCAATGCTGGGCTTGAATTTGTCATCCTGCCTCAGTCTCAGGAGTGCTGGGATGATAGTCACATACCAACCATTCTACCTAGATTACAGCGTTTTTTTCTTTTGTTTTGTACCGGGAAATCGAACTTGGGACCTTGCACTTGGCGAGGCAGGTGGTGGAACCACTGAGCTAAATTCCCGGCCCCTACAGTGGTTTTTTTTGTTTTGTTTTGGTTTGGGGTTTTTTTTTGGTACTGGGGATTGAACTCGGGTCCTTCCACTTGCAAAGCAGGCAGCGGAACCACTGAGCTAAATCCTATAGTTTTTTTTTTTGTACCAGGGATCGAACTCGGGACCTTGAGCTTTCGAGGCAGGCGCCGGAACCACTGAGCTAAATCTCCGGCCCTATTATAGTGTTTTTAAAGACAGTTATTCTGTCTTCTGGTGGAAGTGTCTTTTTTTTTTTTTTTTTGGTACCGGGGATCGAACTCAGGTCCTTGCGCTTGTAAGGCAGGCGGTGGAACCATTGAGCTAAATCCCCGGCCCAGAAGTGTCTTGACATCAAGGATAAGAACAAATTCAGTGCGTGGAGTACACCTGGAATTGTGCTGTGAGTGGTAAGGATGGGTTTGCATAGTGGTAGGGACTGTCTGGGTAGAAATGAAACTTCTTTCTTTCCTTCCTTTCTTTTCTTCCTTCCTTCCTTTCTTTTTTTGGTACCGGCGATCAAACTTGGGTCCTTGTGCTTCTATAGCAGGCAGCGAAACCACTGAGCTAAATCCCTGGCCCCTTTCCTTTCTTTCTTTTATATCAGGGATGGAACTCAGGATGTTGTGGTTGTGTGGCAGGCAAGGTGCCACTGAGCTAAATCCCCTGTCCATGAAATTCTGTTTTCATTAGCACCACCCAAACTTTTTTGGTGACCTTCAGTTTTCATTATTAAGCCTGTGATGGATTCCTGACCTTTTTGGAAAGTTTTACATGTTAATGTGTTACTTTAAACTTTATTTCTGCTGGGTGAGGTGGCAGCTGCCTCCCAGCACTTAGGAGGCTGAAGAAGGAGGATTGGTCTGGTAGTTCCAGGCCAATCTAGGCTACATAGTGAGTTCAAGGCCAATCTGAAGTATATAACTAGACCCTGTCTCAGAGATACCAAAAAGAAAAATTTATTTCTGTGTCTTTCTCATGTAAATGCAATGCTTGTTTCAAGTTATGTTGTGAAAAACTAATAATCATTCTTTTTTTCAAGTGGTTACTACCCCTCCCCCCACAGGGATCTAACTCAGGACCTTGGGCTTGCAAGGCAGGTGCAGTGCCCCTGAACTAAATCCTCAGCCCCATTTTTTTGGGGGGGTGGTTACTGGGGATCAAGCTTGTCCTTGCACTTGCAGGGCAGGCGGCTGAACCACTGAGCTAAATCCCCAGCCCCAGTTTTAAGTGGTTATTGGGAATGAAACCCACAGCCTTGAGCACTCTGGGCAAGTGCTATGCCACTGACTGACATACATCCCAGCCTTTACAGTAAAGCTTTTCTTAAAAAGTGATTTAGTAAGTTTTTGGTGAAGCATGCCTATAATTCTAGCACTTGGAAGGCTGAGGTAGGGGATTCGCTTCAAGTTTGAGACCAGCCTGGGCAGTTTAGAATTCAAGGTTGGTCTGAACTATAGAGACCCTGTCTCTAAAAACAACTGATGGTACTAGCTGGTGTGGTGGCACATCCCTATATTTCTAGCACTTGGGGAGACTGAGGTAGGAGGATCACAGGTACAAGCCTAACCTGAGGAATTTAGCAAGACCTGTCTCTTTTTTTTTTTGGTACCGTGGATCAAACTCGATCTTATGCTCAAGAGGCAGGCCATTGGAACCACTGAGCTAAATCCCCGGCCGTATATCTCATAAATTAAAGGCGGGGGCTGGGGATGGGCACGGGCACAGGCATGGGGTCTACCCTGTAATCTCAGCACTCCTGAGCCTGAGGCTTGACCCGAGTTTGAGGCCTTCCTGGGCTACGTAATGAGTTCAAAACCAAGTTGGGGTGGGATGGGAATGTAGCTCCGTGTGGAGGCCCATGATTTACTCTGTGTGTGTATATCATACTGGGGATCAAATCCAGGGTCATTACATTGAGCCTTAGCCTTTTTTGTTTGCTTTTTTTTCCTCTTGGTGCGAGGGATCAAACTCAGGACCTTGTGCTTGTGAGACAGGAGCAACGCCACTGAGCTAAATCCCTGGCCCTGTCCTTTTTTTTTTTTTTTTTTTTTTTTGGTACTGGGGATCAAACTCAGAATCTTGGGCTTGTGAGGTAGGCGGCAGAACCACTGAGTTAAATCCCCAGCCCCTGCCTTTTTTTTTTTTTTTTTTTGAGACAAGGTCTGTCATTCAGGCTGGCCGGGAACTCTTGAAAATCTTCCTGCCTCAGCCTCCTGAATGCTGGGGTTACAGGCATGCCACCATGCCTGGCCCTTTTAAAAATATTTTATTTTGAGACAGAATCTCACCAAATTGCCCAGGTACAACTTGAATTTAGCCTCCTGCTTTAATGCTGGGATTATAGGTGAGCATCACCATCCCAGAGTAATGTGCTATATTTTAAAATAAGAATCACTCCAGGTAATTTTATCCACATAGATATTTTAACATTGATGGTGGTTTATTTAGATGTCTTAATATATTTATGCTTCACTATGCATAGTTTTATCCAGTTGCTGTTCTTACCGTTTATATGCTGGTTGTTGTTTTTAAACTCTGCAGGGTTTGTCAATGAGGCAGATCAGATTCCGATTTGATGGACAGCCAATCAATGAAACAGACACACCTGCACAGGTAATGATCTCTCCTAATAATACATATGTATATATTTTCTTTTTGGTACTGGGGATTGAACTCGGGACCTTGTGCTTGCGAGGCAGGCAGCGGAACCACTGAGCTAAATTCCCGGCCCTCTCCTAATAATGTTTTAAACCACTTTATGAATGTGTTAACATTTTATTTTTATTTTTTCTTGAGACAAGGACTCGCTATGTAGCTCAGGCTGGCCTCAAACTCATAGTGATCCTCCTGAGTGCTGGATGCTGGTTCTTGCAGAATTAGAAACTGGAATAATGCCAAAGGAGATGATAAAAACAATAGGAACAGATGCAGGAAATCCTAAAGAATTGGTTTGATTTTGTATTTTGGTTTCTTGAAACAAGGTCTGGCTGTGTAGTTCATGCTGGCTTGGAACTCAAAAATCGTCCTGCCTCACCCTTCTCATTGTTGGTATTATAGGTACACACCATCCCCAGCCCTTTTTTATTTTTCTTAAAAAAATTTTTTTTTTATTTTTCATTTTGAGACAGTTTAGCTAAGTTTCCCAGGCTCACTTTGAACTTCAGATCACCTTGCCTCAGCTTCCTGAGGAGCACCAATTTTTTTATTTTTAATTTTTTCCTTGAGACAAGGTCTTGCTATGTATTTCAGGCTGGCCTCCAACTCAGTGGTGACTCTTCTGCCTTGATCTTCCGAGTGCTGAGACTACAGGCATGTGTTGCCATGCCTGGCCACACCAGTGAGATTTCTGTTTTATTTTTGTGGTACTGGGGATTGAACCCAGGGCCTTCATACTGGATTTTGCAGTACTAAAGATTGAACCTAGGGTCTTCATAAAGTACATAAAATACTTTGTATTTTCAGACAAGGTCTTGCTAAGTTACCCAGATTGGGCTCCAATTTAGGATCCTCCTGCCTCAGCCTTCCCTAATGCTGAGAGTTCGGGCATGGGCCACTATGACTGGCTAGGAGTTTGTTAATTTCTTTCTCTGTCTTAGGGTCTTGGTGTGTACCCCAAGGTGACCTTGAACTTGTGGCAGTTCTCACTGCCTCAGCTTCCTCATTGCTGTAGCCCTTTTTAAATTTTGAAATAGGATCTTTACTGAGGTGCCCAGACAGGACTGAAAACTTGTGATACTCCTACTGACTGGGTTCCTAGAGTGTTGGGGTTATAGGTGTGTGTCACTATCCCCACTGCGTTTTTTTGGGGGGGGGGGTACTGGGGATCGAACTCCGGACCTTGCAGGACCTTGCACTGTCGAGGCAGGCGGTGGAACCATTGAGCTAAATCCCGGCCCTTTTTAAGTTGTTTTTTGAGACAGGGTCTTGCTCTGTAATTCAGACTGACCTCAAATTTAAGGCAGTCCTTTTGCCTCAGCCTTCCAAGTGCTGGGATTACAGGTGTGTGCCACCATACCTGGCTTGCCCATTTGTTTTTTAATTATCCATTTACCATTGAGTAAAGAATGAATCATTTAGTTACTTAATAAATCCTATTTTTCTTACAACCAGTGTTATTCTTGTTAGCAGTGTTAGAGAAGATAAACTCTTAAAACTCCTCTTTATTTAAATGAAAGTTTTCTCTTTGTTGCTATAGCCCTTGGCCATGCCCAAATAATTCATCCTGATTTAGCTCCTTATTCTAATTTGAATTTACTATCATATATTCTTGGAAACTAATGGCTTTTGTATCCATTATCTTTGTAGTTTAGTTTAACAGGGACAGCTTTTGGTTTTGTTTTGGGTTTTTGTTTTTGTTTTTGTTTTTTGAGACAGGGTCTCACTGTTTAGCCCAGGCTGGCCTCAAACTCCCAAGTGCTGGTATTATAAGCATGCATCACCCTGCCAGGCAGGGAGAGCTTTTGATAGGTGACTTTTCAAACCCTAAGTACAGCCAAGAAGGCATGTAATGCCAGCACTTAAGAGGCTGAGGCAGGAGGATAGGGAGTTTGAGCCCAGCCTAGTCTCCATGGGGAGTTCAAGGCCAACCTGGGTTACATAGTGAGAGCCTGTCTCAAAAAAAAACCAGACACGATTTATTACAAAAGATGGTCTCTGATCTGTTAATCTTGTATCACTTCAGTTTATTTTGACACTTCATGTGGGATTGGTTGAGGCAAGCATCTGTGGCAGAGACTTTTACCCTTTCAAACTTCTATTTAAGATTTACAGACTGAGTGTAGGATTACATGCCTGTAATCCTAGCTAATCTGGAGGTTGAAATGGGCCATGACAGCAGAAATTTAAATTGGATTTTATTTTATTTTACTTTACTTTATTTTATTTTATTTTATTTTATTTTATTTTAGTGTTTAGTCTGGCCTAATACTCAGTGTGAGGCCGAGGCTGTCCCTTGAATTTGCCAATCCTGACTTGAGTGATGAGATTATAGGCATTAGATCTTTTATACTTTAAAATTTCAATTTTATCCGCCACTAAAAACTGGGAAGCAGTACATGTGGTGTGAGTGAAGTTGCATATCTAGATGTTTTGTTAATAATCTTCAAAGATCTGACATGTCTGAGTTCTGCTGCAGAGAATATTGAAATTTCCATTGGTGAGTCTCGACGAAGCAATTACATTTTGCAGCCACAAGGAGGTGCTGCATTCTCTTGATAAATGAGAGGAAATGGTCTGTTTTGAAGGCAATTAAAATTTCATTAAAAAACATTCCATCTGAGTGTTGTGGCACATGCCTGTATTCCCATCACTTAGGATTCTGAGAGAGGAGAATCACTTCAAGACCAGCCTGGACTTACTGTGGTACTGGAGTTTGAACACAGAAAAACCTAAGCCTTTTTTTTTTTTTTTGAGACAAGGCTTTATTAAAGTGCCAGGCTAGGGTTGGGGATGTAGCTCAGTGGTGCCCCACCTGCCTGGCAAGCATAAGGCCCTGAGTTCAATCCCTGGTACCCAAAAAATAAAAAGGTCCTAGGCTCCCCTTGAATTTAGGATCCTTGTGCTTCAGCCTCTCAGGTTGAAGGCGGGGGTTACAGGGATACCCACTGTACCCAGTTTAATTTGGAATTCCCATTCATGAGATTAAAATTGATTTGTTTTAGAATCTCACCTATTTTTGGTTTTGGATTGC